AATGGAGTTTATGCGCTGATTGTGTGGTTGGCTGGGATGACTGTTGTGCGTTTATGTGACGATGCGTGTCTGTAACATGTGCATCGTCACAGCTTAGGTAGCACCATGACAGTGGTTGACAATTAGGCGCAGGGGTTGTGAAGTTGGGGTTCTGGTCCTGGTCGTGATGGCTGTCCGGATTACGTGTTTGTTTTGTTATGATGGACATTTTTTTTCTTCGTTGGCTTTCCTTGCCGCTGGGAGTGGTGTGAACGTACAGCATGTGGAGTTTTGCAACGTACAGCATGTGGAGTTTTGCACGTGTCTGGTGCTAGTAGGAGAGTTGAAGCTGTCTCGGGTACCTCAAGTTTTTTTTTTTTTTAATGGCAAGCTTATCTTTGGTTCTTTTAAAGAAGAAAATAGGCCGACTGGCGCCTACGATCACCTTCAGGATGTCTGTAGAAATTGGAATGGGTGCAGAGAAGATTAATTAGTATGACCCCTGCACAAGGGTTAGACACAGCAAGTAAAAAGTAAAATGGTCCAAATTAAAATTATTTGGAAAGCAAAGAAGAGGCGTGTGGTTGCCGCTCACCTCGGATGGTTGTGGGGTAGTGGTTGATGCCCACCTGCACCTGGGCTCAGGCAGATCGATATATGCCTTAGAAAAGCATGTGAAGTGTCCTTTGGGATATCCGGTCAAAAGGATTGGAACGTAACAGAGACGGTTAGCATGGGCCCTGCGTAAGGATGACACACAGAAATTGAGAAATGCCCCCCCCCCAAAAAAAAGCAAAGAAAAGGGTGTGAAGTGGATTATTATGCAGACTGTCGAGGGTTCGGTTCTCCAGACGAGTCCGTGGAAGCCCGACGAGACAGGTTGTATTATCTCCCTTTCCTCTTGTTGCATCAGGGACATCCAAGTCATCCCTTTTTTGTATCGGACAGAATAGGTGGGGTGGGTTCCTCACTGGCAACCATGTCACATGTATATACTTGGCTGGAGCGAGTTCTTGGGTCATGCTGGCGCTTCTCTCCTGATTCATAGGCCTTTGCAGCAGCTGGAGGCGGTGAGAACGTGTAGCCCACAGACCAGCTTTGAGGGTATGAACCTGTGGTTCGAACCTGTAGTTTGCGGAGCAGTTGCTACATGCAAGCGGATGCTGTGCGGGAGATTCCGCACCTGCGTGGTGCGGCGCACGGGGGAAATATTCACTGAAAAAAAAAGGGGGGTCTCAAAACTGTCGCTTGGATCCAGCGGCCTAACTCAGTTGGTAAGGCTCGCAAGTGGCATTCAGGAGGTCGTGGGTTCAATCCCCATTGGCCTCATGTACCTTCCTGGGCATGCTTGGCGCCCGCCACCTAGAGATAGACCACTGGATCCCCCGATTGGCATTTAGCAGAGTCTGCTGATGTTCATAGGGGAGCGGACCTGAGGGGAGGCACAGGGATTGGTCCTGTAGTCGCCCACCTGCAGGTCGGGAGCAGCCCCCGCATGTTCTCTCGTGAACACGGTTCTGGCTGATACGGGGTTCCCCGTATGCCTACAATTAGGAGTAGTGGTAGGTAGGTAGTGTGAGGTGAAATTGAGAGAAGAATATAGCTTT